CTAGGCAGGCCGGTGCGGCCATGCGTTTTTGCACTATTTTGTGCTGTAGCAAGACGCAAGGAATCATAGTAGCTAGAATTTGTGATATAGTAGCCCTCGGAGTTCAAGAAATTAATTACGCAGCTACTTGACATGTCATTTGTTGATGTCCGCTTCAGTGACCCAACAAATAAGAAGTTGCTGGCGCGCGAAAAAGACCCCACTAGGAGAGTTGAGTTTGAAATCGTTTAGTAGCGCATGAGCAAGGGAAACTCCTCTAAAATTTTAGCCCTCCAAATTTTCTCACTTCCGAGTTTGCAGTTTTCTCGCCAAAACTTTCATGTGTCTGTACGTGAGATACGGTCGATTCTAAGGAGCTAGATTTGAAGTGTTTTGGTTTTACATGAATAGAAACATTCCCCTAAAGTTTCGGCTTTCTAGCTTTTCTCACTGCCAAATTAGCAGTTTTCCCGCCAAAACTTTTATACGCGAAACGTGGATGTGCATGACTGTTGATATCACGTTCCTGGGGTCGCATTTGGCACTGGCAAAATATCAGCGTCGCTCGCGTGATTGGCAGATGCAAATACCCATAAAGACAAACACACAGGCAGAGTCGACGCAATATGCTTGCTAACTGTTGCAGCACTCTAGCGCTACATGGCAAAAACGCACAATAAAAATCCATAATTGATTTGATCAAATAATCTCGTTTGATTTCAGTGGATATGGTTATCGAAAATATTATGCCTTATATTTGTTCTTTTAACAATCATTTCCTACACGATTATTTTCATTACATTTCGTCAAATTATGAAAACGCTGCGGAGCAGTGTCATTGCCAAAAAGACCAAAATTCTACAGCGCCAATTAACTATTGTTATGATTGTTCAGGTTGGCTTTCGATTATGCGCTTTTGGATCAAATAGGTACCATTCTTTCACGGCAGGTAAATGTGCCAAAACATACAGGACCACGTAAGAAAACAGAGAACTTAGATTTATCCTGTAATTGAGCACAGCACAGAAAATTCTTAGTCCATTTAGTTAGTTTTCTAACTATGTTTTCACCCAGTCCTGAAAGTCTTGTATTTGCAGTTTATCACATTTTAATATATAACTTGAGATAACCATTTTGAAGCAAAAAATCACAAAATTAGCGAAGATTTTTCTTAAAAAAAGACTTTAAGGCAGCAATGCCGGTAATTTGCACGGCAGTACCAACAGTTGCATTCTCAGTGGTGAAGTACTGTAAATGGCCGCCATCGGATTACGGATCACTGGCAATGGGATTCATAAATTGGCAACCATGCCTTACTCCCATTTTCACGATATGTTGCATCAGAGCAGTCAAAGATGAATTTTTCCGCCTCTTTCACATGACCGCTCGTCGGCAGCTTACACTCAAAGTAATATCGATGAAAGAATACGAAGATCAGCACGCTGACCAAGGAGCCAATGCTTTGGCTTCTGTGCAGCAGCGTATGTTGATTTGGACTATCATGCATCTTCATCCAAAACTGTGCTTTGTTCCAGTCAATGGCTGCTCCGCTGCTGCTTTACCGAACAAACAGATGTGATTTTAACCCACTCTGAATAGAATGTAGCAGCCAGATCAAAGCTGGATGCTTAAGTGGTAAAAACTAGAAACTAGTCAAAGACAAGAAGCCAGTCTGCAGTCATAACATTAATTAAAGTTGAGTTACCAAGTCACAGATTCATCCTAAAGTTGAATAAGCCTTGCCAAGTGGTTCAGTCAGCAGGACCGCCAGCATTCCGCGCAAAATGTACGTTAGCACGCTGATGACCAGATGAAGCTACATTGACCAAAACAACTGGCGATAAAATTGCCAGTCAAAAAACCCAATCTATGAATCGCAGTTGAGCAACCTGCTAAGACACCAGATAAATGGAGCATAAGACAAAAAAACAACCTAGAAACTAGTTAGACCAAAGTCGCTTTCAGACTTCGTTGCACTTTTTCGTGTTTTAGTTCACAGATTGAATCCAAAGTCAAAAAATCTTCTATATTTTAAAATAGGCGTAGGCATAGGTAATAGGGAAGTAGCCTAGGCAGTTCCAGTACCATACGTTGGCAAGGCTGTCGATGGCTCCTTTTTTCGAGGACAGCTTAGAAGCTGAAAATATTTCGCTTTTCTGCATATTAGGAGGGCTTCCCACAGTATCTTCTGCAGCACTATTAATAGCGACAGCAGCAGCAACAGCGATAGCAACAACAGCAGCAGCGACAGCGATAGCAACAACAGCAGCAGCAACAGCAGCAGCAACAACAACAACAACAACAACAACAACAACAGCAACAATAAACAGCGAAAATTTTGGGGGCATGAAGATAAACAGAAGCATTAAAGAAGCAGAAACTCAGAGAAATTGGAAAGTCGGAAAAATCGGAAAAATTACTAAAAGGATTTCAGGTGAAAACATCGAGAACTCACAAGACGGTGCAGATTTTTATATCGCTGAACCTGATATATTGCAAATCATTCCATCCGCAGCATGGAATTCTACTGATGTTGCTGGCAAACTGGGAGCTAAGTCTGACTCCAATCTTCTCATTATCTTTCGCAAAACAATAGATGAACAAGTCTTTCCGTTAATTTCGCATAGTTATTCACAGGTAAAGGGCAGTTAGTGGTTTCCTGTAACAAAAATGACCAACGCTGGCATGGCTGACCAGACAGCCGAATACTTCGATTAAGAATAATCAGGTACCATGCAGACCTCTCGAACAGTTGGCGACCTATCGCTGGTTTTCGCACCGTCAGCGTAACTGATCACTTTATTATGATACAAGAGTTTATATACAAAAATGATAATCGATAATAAGAATGATTATAAAAGTGTCATAATCCAGAGTGCGTCTTCTGCTGCTCGGTTAATCGTTTCATTATTCGAAGTGGAATCC